CCCTGCCCCTCTCTCCCAGTTCAAACTGGAAGCTGCATACAGGATGGGCTAACGTACAACGACAAGGATGTGTGGAAACCCGAACCCTGCCAGATCTGCGTCTGCGACAACGGCAACATCCTCTGCGACGAGGTGATCTGCGAGGACACCTCCGACTGCCCCAACGCCGAGATCCCCTTCGGAGAGTGCTGCCCCATCTGTCCCGACACCGATGGTATCGTGGCGTCGTCCTGGGGCGGCGGGTGGGAGTGTGGGGGCATCCCTGGGGAGCAGCAGGGCTGGAGCCCAGCCCGGCTCAGCATCCTTCCCCTGGGTGTCAGGGCTGCGGGATGGGTGCGGGGTGGGGTGGGGGGGGTGGGGGACGCTGAGCTCCTCTAAACGCCCGTCCTTTCTCCCGCAGCCTCCCCTGTCTACCCAGAAAATGCTGGAGTAGAGGTAAGGGCTCCCTTGCTCCCCTAAACCCCACGATTTCCCCCACCTAGTTTTGGAGAACCCCTTTTCTAACCGCCCGTTTCATCTCTCCTCGACAGGGTCCTAAGGGAGACACCGGCCCCAAAGGAGACAGGGTGGGTATCAACCCTGCAGAGCCCCCCTCCCTCCCTGCTCTGCCAGGACCCCCGTCCCGCTGGGGCTCACCCTTCTTTCCTCTCCCCCCCCAGGGACTCCCCGGCCCCCCTGGCAGAGATGGCATCCCTGGACAGCCTGGCCTCCCGGGACCCCCAGGCCCTCCAGGTCCTCCAGGCCTCGGCGGAGTGAGTATGGGGAGGGTCTCCGGAGGTGCAGACCCCCATGGGGGTGCCCGCGCCCCGCTCACCCCCTGCTCTCCCTCCTGCCCACAGAACTTCGCTCCTCAAATGTCTTATGGCTACGATGAGAAAGCTGGTGGCATGGCCGTGCCCGGCCCTATGGTGAGCACTGGGGTGGCACAGGTCCCTGAGGGGGGACACAAAGGGTGGGGACAGGTGGAGGTGTGAAGCTGGGAGAGGCACTGGGAGCGATTCCGGTGCTGGAGGTGCTGAGGATGCTGCCAAGTGGTAGGAAGTGGGAGGGATGGGGAGGGATGTTGGTCCTGGAGGTGATGGGAACAGGGATGGAGACGGGGATGGGGTGGCAATGGGGACAGGGAATGGGTGGTGATG